TTATAAAAGATTTAGCTCATTACTGAACAAGTGGAACAGTAGAAGAATGTATTAAAAATTGTATTCTTCTGGATAATGGTATGTTTTTAGCAATTCTCAAACCCTTTCTCTAGATTGTGCTGTTACAAGGTTTTGTGACTTTGTGATTACAGATATTTGGGGGAGACATGGCGGTCCATATATAAGAGATTATCTAAACATAAAATAAGCTGCAAAAGTTCGTGTGTCCAAAAATAAGAACAGACCAAACACATGGTTTATACAGGACACTAGAAAGACTGGTCTAAGGCAAGATATAAAATTATATGAAGGAGAAAATTAGAAGGCTATAGATAACAACAAAACTGCTGATAGATGAAATAGGAGGAAGATGTAGGGAATCGAGCGGAAACTACTTGTGGCTGCTGGATAGGAAAAGCAGGTAGAAAAGGAGCAAGAAATACTACGGAAAAAGATAAGTTTGAGTATTTTTCATATTTAAGTAGAGTTTCAAGACTACCAGTAAATCAGTAATATGAGATATATTCACGCAATTTCGTTTAAGGTGATGAAGAACTGGTAGTAGAGTTTTCCCACACTGATATTAGTAGAGCTGACGCTTCCATTAATTTCACAGTGACTGATTCGTTAACATGCTAAGCTCACATTCTGCACAGTCACAATTCGACTCCCGCTGGGGGTGTTGATAAGACCGATTCGAGGTTGAAGTTGCAGTCCATTCTGGATGAGAACAACTTTGTAGAAAACAAGACTATGTAAAATTCTGATGCCTTCATTGCCTCGTTTATCTGAATGTTAGTAAGCCTAGACACTACTAGGGTTGCAGCTGGCCAATTTATTCTTTTGGCTTAGTATATTCTTGCTGTATTTCGTAAAGTATGGAACCTTGCTCTGATGATGCCTGTTACCGTACAGACGAAAGTTTAGCACAGTTCCATCGGGGTCGAAGGACTTCTTCGCAAAAGTCAACAGTCTTCCTTATGCGACAATCCTCCTTTGGTTTCCGGTGAGAACACATCCCGATTTTCGTCCAACCAACTTTCCCTTCGAAATGGAGAGCCATGCCACAATATTCCATTAAGGAATTCTTTAAAACCTTATTTTTCTTTAATTCTTATTGTTAGGCTGATTAATCGGGCTAAAGACTCCGTACAGATTCACTCTGTCTCCATAACGTGATTTTCTTTATACAAAATCTCCAGTGAGTGCTTTTTATCCAGTGATGTTAGTGTACGTGGACTGTACATATAAGCTCACCAAAAGTTATTTTTCTTACAAAGTGACGCCTTTGGTTATTTGACGAAATTCGTATGAGTTCTTCACTATATTCGACAATCTGACATTAACTTTCTTTACTTTACGGCAGATAAATCGAGGAAATGAAGACCAAGGTGGTGAAGCATTTTGTGTGGTAACAGTCTCCTATCGTTGTATAGAAGTTGTTTAACTTTGTCTTCGCAACTTGGTCATATTGGTAGGAAGACCTAGAGGAACGTGCCTTGTCCGGAGTCCCTAGCATGCATGATAATTTATAGTCTGATTTCGAAAATGGTACATTCCCAGACGTTTCGCCGGCATCGTCAGTGAGCCTTGCCAGTCCTAGCACCACAAAACAACTCGTCAAAAGAGACAACTGAAGACGATCCTTTACCAAATTGTCTGCTAAATAATTGTGGTATCTGTCCTTCTGCCCTGGGCTATTCACCAATGCTATATCCTCGTATCACTCCTTCACTATCACAACTTATTATTTAAATATGGTATGGTGTGCACTTTTGAGCGGATTTCATGAGAATTCTCTACACCCCATGCTGGCTTTCTCATCCCCTCACACCCCTTCATTCTGTGCTGGGAATGTTGAACAGTCTGTCATATTATTCAGCAATCTTCTCACTAAAGGTCTTATCCGAATCTCTCTCTTACCACGTTGGATCAAGCTCCTACCTTCTTGGCTTAGGTATTTCACTCGAACCCTGTCCCCTTCCTGTATTACTTGAAGAGTTATTTCCCGCACCGTCTCAGTACTTTGATGGCCCGCCTAATCTCACCTGGCTGAATAGGCCCCTAAAAATCAGGATTCTAAAGCTGGATATGAGACTAACTAGAGGATAAAGATCCAGAGTAATTCTTATGGTCAGGCCTACAGTCAGCCAACTAGCTCTCGTCTCCACCGCATCTATCCTGTTTCTATCCCTAATACCAAATCTATGACTTCCTATGCCTTAGTCTCTTGTGAGCCAACCCACAAATATTGTGGTTCGAAATTGAACCTAATAAAAAAAAGTGGAACATTATTTGTGGGTTGGCAGACAAGAGACTAGGACATAGGTCAGGCTTGGTATTAGGGATAGAAACAGGATTGATGCAGTAGAGACTGGAGCTAGTTGGCTGACAGTAGACGTGTTTGATCATAGAAGTGAAGAAAAGGCTTGATCATGATAATTACTAAGCTCTTTAGCCTCAAGTTAATCTCCAATCAAGCTTAAGAATCCTGACTTTTAGAGGCTTACTCAGCGAGGCGTGAGTATGCATTCCCGTGTGGGAAATAATACTTCAAGTAATACAGAAAGGGTGGCAGGGGTCGAGTTAAATAGCTAACCAGCAAGGTAGGAGGCGGACCCTGCGCGGCATAAGGGAGACTCAGATAAGATCTATGGGGAGAGGATGGCAGAATAATATGGCAGACTCCGATCAACAATACCAGCACAAGGATGAAGGAGAGTGAGGCAGTGAGAAAGCCAGTGTGGAGTTTGGAGAGTTCTCATGGCATCCGCTAAAAAGGACACACCATTATACATTTAAATAATTAATTGTGATAGTGAAGGAGCGATACGAAGATATAGGATTGGTGAATAGCTAAGAGTTGTAGTGTGATGCTAAGAATGACAAAGCTCACTGATGATGCCAGCAAAATGTCTGGGAATGTATCACATCCACGATCGGACTCTGGAAATAATCATATATACTATGGAATATGGACAAGGTGCTTTCCTCTAGGTCTTCCTACTAATATAAACAAGTTGCGAAAACAAGGTGAAGCAACTTTTAAGGCAAACAAATTCTGACAATTTATGTGTTGGTCCATATTTTTTCTTGACTATTATTCTTAATCATTCTCCTTCTTTGTGTAACTTTAGCAAACCGTATGTTAATGAGGCTCTTGCATCCTTTGGTATGAGTGAATTTATTATCCATTTGTCTATTTCCCCGTTCATATTCATTATCTTCATCAGTTCTTGCAGTGCCCTTTGATTTTAACTATTAAATCTTTTGTTAGCAGTCTATAAGTTGGTGTCCCCAAAAATATTTTCCATTTTATCTGTATACTTCTTCCTGTGCATCACTGTGGCACCTCCGTTGTCAGCTTATAGGATTATTTAATCGTTTCTTCTCAATTATTTATATATATCTTAGGACAATAAAGTGAAAAGTTTGGAATCGAACACCTGATGACTCACTGCATAGGCTGTATTGAATTGTAACAACGTAACTAACAAGGTTGAAAAAGGCTCTATTGTGTCCTGTAAAAGGTCCTCGACTAACTGTAGTAAGATAAACAAATTTGGGAGGGTTTAGCTAGTTAATTTGCGCATTTTCTCGATGATGAATAAGCTAGAGTAATGAGTTGGACAACTATGACTCTGAATCTCTAGTACATAAAAAAATTATAGGCAAATGGTGAAGGCCGTTTGAAAATACAGTATCTAGTCTGGCTAAGCGATTGGATAAATGCCTTTAAAGAGGCTAGAGGCTAAAAGATAATAAAGGAGTTGCGCTCTGCGATAGATATACTTAAGGCGGATTCTAATTATTATTAATTAATTCAAATTGGTGCAAAAAAATCATTTTTCCAAAGGTTGGGGCAAGGACTGATGAAAATTTCACCCGACAAAATTCGAATAGCTAGCTTGTGGATGAACAGAGCTCATTGAGCCATGCAATTCAAGAGGGGATAGAGCGGCTAACCAAGTAATGTAAATAGCTCAGAAAGAAAGGATCTCTAGTGGCAGATACATTAAACCTAACAAAGGCATGAATTCAGAAGCTTGAATTCTACTTCGAAAGTTTTTCTCCCAATATAACTTAAAGGTTTGCGTAACCTAAGGACAAACGCGATTTCCTGCGAACTAGTAGGTCAAATGCTTTGATCCAACTTGGTGCTCTAATTATATCTGAGGTCGAAACTGCAGTCAGGCTAGGATGATAACATCCTTCAGAGGCGAATGAGGTAGTGGATTTTAAGAAAAACCCAAACCTCCATAATTGATTGTTGGTAAAATAACAGCATCAAACGTTTATAGCAAACATACCCTTTTGGCAAGCTCTAGCTGGTGAAAGTGATCGAAAGGAGTACTCCCATGTCGAGTTTGGAAACTATTTGGGAAAATAAATCATTTAAACAACTTTTTATCGTTTAAGATGGTTTACATAAATCATTATAAGCAGAATAGTATGAAGCTCAGGTATCGG